ACGCTCTTCCGATCTCCCCAAAACCCCAAAACCCCAAGAAGTAGAGTAATAACATCTTAACATAAGATATTAATCAATCAAGACATCAAAAGTGTATATTTAAAAATATTATTTTTAGTATTAGATTAGTCTTTTTTGTAAGGAAGCATTAAGTAGATTTGAAAATTAGTCCTTAAATTTAATATCATTTTTATGTAATATAAGCGGTCTTTAATTATCAGTATTTGATTGGTCTATCTCGATATGCAAAAAGAGTATTCATTAGTCATTGAGTCAGCATCATTGATTAATCTTTTTTGCCTTGGCAATGAGAGACTTAGGCACGAATCTTGGTGAAGTCATTTCTGAGTTCGGGTCAGGCGAGTACATCATTTCTTTTCTATTCGAGTGGTCATTTAGCTACCTTTTGCTAGAACCAGGTAAGAACATCACTGTATTTTTGGAAATTGGCGCGACAGTCCCACCACATTGAGCATTTTTAGAAAGATAGCTTTGAAAGGTTGATTTTTTCCTGCTAATTAGGACCGGGCTATAGAGTTGGCTTACATCAGTTTTTGACTTTGACAGGCTTGAGTCATTTCCATTGAAAGTTTTTCCTAGTATGTTGTTAATCTACCTTGACTTTTAATGAGAGGTCGATTAAGGTTTTAAGTTATTCTTAGAAGATTATTGAGTCAAAATAGAGTTTTATAAGATATTTGTAGATCTTTCATTACTCAAGCATTTAGTAGAATCAAACTCTATGAGAGTTAACTTAGTATTAGAAGATTTGTTCATATTCTTTTTGCTTGAATTATTTTCAACATTGATATTTAAAGTAATTTGAGATCTAAAAAGATTAGGCCTAGTTTAAGTATTTGAGCTTAGAGGGTTATTAGGTTTTTTAGCTTTCATATTGAATAATTAAGCCCCAGATTGCTGCTACATTAGAGCTGAATCTTTCCTGATTTTATCTTTAGGTACTTCTTATATTGAATCTATAATCTTTCTATTGATATTCACAGCATTTTATTTCATCTCTTTCTACTTAGTAGGTGATTACGGTTTAGAGTTAGCTGATAAGAGTCTATTAGGAGAATTATTTTAAGTCTAAATTGGGAAAAAATTTCCCCCTGATTTTTTTAGTTGTTCATTTTTTGGGGAAAGAATGAACTATTGTTTCATTTACCTGCGGAACTCGAATAACTCTTTAGCAGAAGATATCTTGTCTTGTTATGCTATATAAGCTTTGATGGGAGAGACTATTTTTGAGGTAGACCTAGCTTGTATCCAATCAAATTAATTGTCATAGTAATAATCATTCTTGTCCATTAATTTCTTG